AAATTACCTACATTACACTTCAGGAAATGGTCTTTCACCAAAACAATGTTTGGGCATTGAACCCAACATGAACAAGCGTGACTTTTGGTGTCATGAGTTTCTAAAGTTCATTTTACTCATTTTTTCAAATGTTTGCTGTCTTCAAAAAATTAAAACAAAAATGTCTAACATGCATAAAGACATGTGATCCATTCGGGAAATGCAAATCTATACTGTGCTCTCCGTGGGCATAGGAAGGAGACAGGAGAAATGATCAGTGGAAATGTGCAGGCAAAGACTTCTCAGTCCCTGTCTTTTGGTCTTCCCAGTAGAAAGTATTCTGGCAGAACATCATATTTTGATTGTCTTTCCAAAAATAGGCATTATACCTACTGATCATGCCTGTGCTGTGCACACAGACTGTGTCAGGGAGGAGCAAGATAAGGGCTGCTCTCTAAGGGAAGGGGAACTGGAAGCCAAAGGGTGTCCCAGGACCAGCAGGACAGGGGCCACACCAGACAGGGCCCATCCTCTGGAACCCACATCAGCCAAGCAGAATAGATCTGGAGATGATGGCCAGGTCCTACCAAGAGTTCAGATCATAAGGCAATATCATGAGGCAGGGTGAAGGTCAAGCCAGGAAGTCAGTTGACAGGTTGGGCTTAGGATCAGGTCCAGTGATTGCCCAGTGGGTTCATAGCAATTAGGCTAGGCTGAGATCAACCCAGGACGTCAGTCTGTGGCCCAGGGCCTGTACTCAGGGAATCTATGGCTTGAAGTGACCTTAATGCTACGGCCAGACATGGCCACAGAAACTAGCACTCCTCTATCATAGCCCAGGCCCTTTAAGGTAGTGAAGGCCCAGGGCTGAGCTTGAAGGGTGCTCCAGAGCCCAAGGGTGTGGGAGCATCCTCAAGTGAGGCTGGTCACAGCCAGTAAGGCACATTAGCACACTCAGGGCCCTGACAGACTGTCACTATTCTGTAATGTGCTCCAGAATATTTCAAGGTAATTCTTGGCATGCAGGAAAGATGCAGGCTTTGCATTATTCCTTTGTTTTCCTGGGTGCCCTTGGAGCCACTGCTATATTAAAATAGTGCAGATAAGAGATTTTTCATATTTTAGTGTGCTGAATTTTTAATAGAGATCTTTCTGATGTATTTTCATTAGAGCTTCCTTTTGCCATACTGCTAACTTATTCCTTAAACATAGCAGGAAGAAAACAAACAGATATAGATAAGGTGCTTTGTTATGAGTTGAAAATGGCTTATAAAAGCCAAATTCTACAGTCTGCAGAGCATCAGCAGAGCAAAGACTAAACTTTTTATTTAGTTTGGATGCTTCTTTTTTTCCTAAGGACCTCTTAAAATTCATGAGGGAGGTGTGTGTGGAGGGATAAAAGTAGATTTGCTGTCATCTTACAGTGAGCTGGTGGAAGAAGAGTCTTGACTTCTATGTCTGAGGGAAGACCGAGCAGGAAACTTTTCTGTTCTGTTAAGCTAAGACATTAAATGTAGCCTTGAGCTGCTGATGAAATGCCTCACAGAGGAAATGGGAGAAACTCCTGTTTCTCGTGATAAGAAGCTTCAGGCTGAGCTATGAGCAGCTGAAATGGAAAAATCCAGGCTTATGGTACAGAAATGCTTGCCATAAGTAAGGTCAAACCCCTTTGTAAACAAAATCTCTTTTCTATAGATGTGGGCCAAGTACTTCTGTAGATTTTTTTCTGTGCTTGAACTTGGAGCTTTATGTGAAACCCCATGTGGCATTTTCTTATCTTTTGTTTGCTGGCCTGCTTATCCTTGTGTCTTAATAGCCACACAATGAGCTTAACGTTACATTAGTGTTTGACTGATACACACATACTCCAGTTTAAACCCTACCTTCGGTATGCTGTACAGTCATTAAGAGTTTTTAATAAAGAGACAGTGAACCCGATAGAAACACATGAACAAATGCGCGGTGGGAAACTAAAATAAAAACACGGTGCAGAGTTGGAAAAAGGGGGTTCCGTGAGATGCTGAGCAGCTGCTTGGGAAGAGAACCATACCTTAGCAATTTGTTGGGGTTAGGTTTCTGAATCAGTTTGGTGCTTTTGTGAATATCTTTTGTGATAATTTCCATGCTGATAATTTCCTAGCTTAACTAAGAACCTACACAAATGTCTGCATTTTTTAACAGAACCTCAAAACGGTCTCTGTTTCTATGCTGATAAACATTAAAATACAATGATACATCTTTTTATCTGCAAAGTTTTCTGGTTTATTACTTTTAGTGAGTTGACTGTACAGTTGGATTAATATCTGATTTGGCAATGAATTGCAAGGCATATTGTGTTTTTCCAACCTCTATTTTATTTCTCACCTATATTGTGAAATTTTCAAAGCAGGGATACATGCTGAGAACACAGTTTGCCAACCATCAAACTCTTTGAAATGTTATAAGATTTCCCCTTACCCTCAGAAAAGAAATTTTGTTCTGTTCTTAACTGGGGTTTCCAAGGCTCTTGTGATATCATCTATCTGCGTTGGTGGGGACATCACATCCCAGTTAGCTTCTGTCACCTTGGTTACCTTAAAAATGATGCCAACTGTCTCATTAGTGTCCTATGAGGAGATGGAAAGTTGCTGTCCAGAAATAGTGCTGTAATTAGCCTATTATCCTGCACCATCACTCATGAGTAACTGTCTGAAACTCCTTCCCTGGAAAATACTGTTCCGTTAACATCAGAAGACCAGCACTAGAAGGATAGTACTCATGGTGATTTCTGTCCTCCTGACTTGTCTCCAGAGCTCCCTCAACTCAATGGAAAAGCAAGGGAGAAAGCTTGCCGTGTAAAGCACTTCATGTGCAGGGCCACTTTCCTGGTCCTGTGAATGCCATGCAATGCTGTGCACTTGCATTGACAGTGTGTAGTTTAATGGTTTATTGTCTATCATTTTGGGATGATCTGACTGTTAGCTCCTTCTCCAGACCCAAGCCCTGCTCCTGGTAATGTCCTGTTCCTCATGCTACCCTCTTTCTCTGTTTCGTGTTCTAACCTGTGCCACATTCCTTAGTTTCTGTCTCTGTTGGCGTGGCCCTGCAACCAGGTGGGCTTAGCAAAGAGAAAAAGTAACTTTGTTGTAGGGAGCAAACCATTTAAGAGAATGAGGTTTCAGATTGGTCAATAGTTTCTGGAATGGAGAGAAGTCAAATACCCAATGTTCTCAGGTCTGTTCTGCTGAAAAGCAATGATAGAGTTGTTTGAAGTGTCGAGATAAAAACCTTGAAACTAGAGAAATTATTTAATTCTGAAAAAATGCATACAGAGGATGAGAAGTAAAAACAGACAAAAGTGGTGATCTTTACACTGAGCTACTTTTAGCATCTATTTCTTGTTCTAAACATGCCAAGATCATTTTTATTGTGATTCTGAAGGTACAGTTGCATTTCTAAGTCTCATATTTTATTAAGTACTGCAGAGTTTTTCATGTCATTGCAAATGGTCTAATTGGAGAGGGAAATAGCAGCGATGCTCACTTCAAATGGCCTTTGGTTTTCCATGTTCCTTTTCTTTCTAAAACTAAGGAATGACTTCCTTGTTGGTGTACCATTTATTCTAGGTGAATATATGAGTATTCCTTCAATTCCTGTTGCCGTTTGGGAAGACATTTGAATCTGCAGAAACAATACTTAGTGCATTCACGAACTACATTTATCAGCACTACGGCCTAAAGGAAAGTCAATTTAATTGCACTAGATTTCTAGTTCAGAATGACAAACTGCAGAAGTTTGGCTCAGTATGATAGATAACTTCTTGTAGAATAAGCCTCTCTGATTCATTTTAGATATTTCATATTATTATCTTTGAGTAAAGAGAAACAGGTTTTCATTGAGACAAACTTTATCACATTGGGGTTCTATTGTAGCTGACTCACAGATGACGGTGTATTGGACTAGGATCTCATGTGTAGTAAACTGTGTTGCCTTTTTATTTTTTTTCTTCACTTGACACTTGAATACAGTTGATAATCAAATACAAGCACAGAACTATCCTTATCACTGTCTACTTGATACTATCAATATTTTTGATAATATCAAGTAGATTGATACTTTTGATAGATATTTTGCTTCCTGCTTATCAACCTCTGCTCTAAAGAAGGTGACTTTTTAGTTTTGAAGTTGCTTTAGCCACATAGGCTGACACCATTGGTTAAGCTGAAAACCAGCTGCAGCCCTTTTGAAAAGTAAACCAAATCTTTGATGAATTGATTTAAATAGCAATTTAGGAATCCTGAAGTCTATTCTGCAGTCTCAGCACAGAGTGAAGAACACTTAATTACCTGAATAGCTGCTTTGTAATCTGCAGCTGTTCAAATCCATGGAGCCTTTACCTGAGCTATGCTTCAATGCCTCTTCTAGCTACCTCTGCGCTGCATTCGCTTGCAAGCACTTAAGTGTGTCTGCTCAGCACAAGTGTGGGTGACCTTGTAGGAGCCTGATATTCACTGTTTATGGGGCAAACTGATGCGACCCAAATCCCCCTCCATCCGGTAATTTGGTGCCTCTGCTGGCAGAGCTGACTGATTACATGGCTGTGCTCTGGTTAGGTGAGTGGCAATTGAACTAGTAAAGCAGTGGTTTAGCCCTGCTGATAGGAAGACTTGTTAGTCAAAATCATAGTGAACTCTACTGAAGGAAGAGGATGGCAGTGAATCACCATTTCTTGTGCCATAATTTCTGTCTAGAAGCCTTCTGAACACTGACCTAGGTAAAAAGAAAGTAGACCCTCTGTTTGCTTGTAGGTCACATCTCAAATTACTTTAGATTTAGGGTGTTTTTCAGCATCACCAGAGGGATAACAGTGATGATCAACATTTCCCTGTTTTCCAAAGGACCAAAACTACTTGCATAAGAACATTTCTATCTTTGTAGTAATTATAAGTACTGTGTGTCAGGGCCCTGCGGGCACAAACAGGAATTAATGTCTCTGACCAGCCTCACCTGAGGCCTTCACCATACCCCCTACCCCTGGACTTCTTTAAGCTCAGGCCATGGGCGTTGTGTCTCTCTTGCCCTAGGGAAAGCTAGGTAGGGCTAGTGAGCTCTGGTAGTGCCTTCAGGATCCTGACAGCATGAATGTACCAGAATCTTGTTTGAGATGTAAGTCAAATGTTATGTGCTTGATGTCACTGATTATGAACTTGGTTTCTTTGAGGCACCAGCTGAGAACGTGGTTGGTTTGAGACAATTTAGTGAGAAGCTTTTTTTTTTTTTTTTTTTTTTCTTTTTAATATATATGTATATATCTTTAGTTCTTTATTTCTGAAGGCCTCATATAACTACTTTGGCTTATTTTCTTGGGATTTATTTTTTATTTTCAGACTTGAAAAAAATATTTTCATGGGAAGTTTATGGAAGTATTGAAGGACTCCATTTGGTGGCCCTACTTTTAGTTTTGATAGTGATATGTATGCTGTGAAATTGGAGTCATGTTAGGAGACAGGTGTAACAACTAACATTTGAAAAACATTTGAAAGATTGAAAAAAGGGAACTAATACTCTTTTTTCTGGCAAAAATGGAACTTATTTTAGTATGCATTTCACTTCTCTATAGCTGTATCTAGCCTAAAAATGAATGACAGAGACTAATGAAATCCCTGTAAGTTGTCCTTGATAAGGTCTGAATCTGAACTGGGACTTCCATTTGCCAGTTAACACCAGTCAAGGCCTTGGCTACATGATTTTATTTGCGTTTTAAGATGTGAAACATTAATGTTGTGGCCTGTGTTTTTCTTTCCCTGTCATAATACCTTCAACAGTTGTGTTCAGCAAGTATGGGTTTGTCAGCTGAGGAGAATCACCAGGCAAGATAAGTACAGGACACTTTCAAGGAGCACTCAATCTCTGTAAAAGAAAATGGGAAAGGATCAAAATATTCAAATCAATAGTCTGAACCTGCATCTTTTCCAGAGTTTATTTTGACAGCTGAAATGAAAGTGTAATATTCAGTGCAGTTTTCTAATGATGGGTGTAGGAGAAATAAAGAGGTAAATGCAAATCCAATTACAGTTCCTGAAGTTATGTATGCAGGAGGCTAGTTTTTTTCAGATAGGTAGGAACTGGACCACTTTCACTGAGATTTTTAGTTAGAGCAGATATTTTTGGATCAGTGCTGGTTCTTTACTATGGCTCTCAAGTTGGTCTGTTGGTCAAGATCGTAGAGGATCTTTGTCAGCAACTGTCAATGGGGAGTGCTGTTCAGAGAGGATTTTCTCATGTGCATAGCAGGTTTGAGTATGCATGCTGAGAAATGAGGTTACTGGTGTTTTAAAGTTACTGCCTTAGGAGCTGCTTAGGGGTTGTACATAGATGCTACCCATTGTTTTCTTACTTTTAATGTCTGCACTAGTTAGTTATAAATCAGATATTCCTTTGACTGGGGGGGGGAACATCTTGAAAAATCCAATAAAAACAGCTCTGTGAATCCCGTTTCTGAAGAGAGGAGAGAAAACAGACAGATGCACTTTGTTGACCCTTCATTCTCTTCCCCCACACTCTCCTCCCACAATAGCTTAGATCATTAAGCTCCTATATAATTAAAACTTGGTCCAAGTCACACTAATTCTGTTTACTGGCCACAGTGAAGGATATAAATATCTAATCACTTCCTTACACAGAGGCTGCTTCCTGCTGGTGGTTTGCAGTTGCAAAGGAGTCAGTCCCTCAGCAAGCTCTCTGTACAGCTGCTCACCCTGTGTGAATGAGCCCTGCTCTAAGTGCTGCCATGGTGCATTTATTCCCATGGATTCCTCCTCCTGTTTTTTTCAAAGGGAATGATGTCACTCGCTATGAACAGACGACATAGAAAGGCTGCCGTTAATGCACATAATAATGGGAGTGAAATTTATGGAATGAAATTAAAAGGGGAAGAAGAGACTATCTTTTGAGGGTTTCCCAAGGGACTGCAGTTCTAATGGGCAGCTGAAGCTGTGGCACTGAAAGGCCTCGTAGACAGATAGGTTCTGAGCATAAATCCACTGAAGTCATAGCAATGGTTCATTGATGGCAATGTAATTAATACAAAGTGCTTTCTCTTCAATGTGGAATGCCAAATGCATGTTGGTAATCTCTGGAGCATGCAGGGGTTAGTATTGCCTGCAATAAGATTTCATAGGCATGCTAGCGCCATGCAACACAACTCTCTAAGTAGGAAGGAATATCTGGAAGAGGGAAAGTGGGAAAGAGGAAGAACCTTCCTAATTCACATCATAATGGTGTTGTGAAGTTGTCATAAGTAGCAGGCTTGAAATAATTCTTGAGGTCTGGTAGAACAGATTTCACGCATGGGGCATGCTTTTTTTTTTTTTTTTTGGTGGGCGGAAGGTGGGAGAAAGGGGTCTGGGCATGGGCAGAAGGTGGGGAGTGGTGTACAAATCTGTACCACATGCTTTGAGGCTGTCTATGGAAGAACTCTCCAAAATTAAATGGATGGCTTCCTCAAGACACTGAGCACCCTGAGCTGTTTGTGACTGCCTTGGGCTCAGCAACTCCAAGAAGCTAGTCCACGAGCTCCTGCTTCTGCTGTGCAAGCAGAAGAGGCAGAATCACAAACGAAGTGAAGCCAAGCAGGTGCACTGCAGTGACAGCCCTTCACCTCCACTGACATTTTCAGGAGTAACCACTGTTTTACAGAGTATTTAAAGTAAATTACTACTGTCTTTTCCCTTTCCTAATTTTTGACAGATGAGCACTTCTATAATTAAATATGGTTTGATTGTATTTTACTTAAGGTTTATGTTTGCAGCTGGGTGAAGTGCCTGGTGGTGGAAGATACTAGCAATGTGAGCAAGGACTTTAAAGCCCGGTAGTGAAAATTTCCAGATTGTACTGACTAATCTAGTTTCCAGGTGATATGCAGAGTAACACAAGACACACCAGCCCTGTCAAGATGTGCAGAGGCTTGCTGTGCTTTGGTGGATGGAGCAAGTCTGCTTCCCCTTGGAATGTTTTTAATACTTCTGTAAACTACGTGGGGTTGAGGGCTAGTAGCTGTATACTTAGCCTGTGACATTTGATGTGTACTGATGCACCAATTGAATATTTTATAAAAGCATTGGAATTCTAGCTTTGGTTACATGGAAAATTAATGATGAATGTAACTTTAAAATAGTAGTAATATCATAATATCTTGAAATTTACAATCATCGGCTCTGGGATATGAGCTAAAGACATAACTGATCTGAATCTATGTGAAGTAGAAGCAATTTAACAGAAGAGAATTTAAAACATGTCTGTTTTGACTTCGCTCATTCTCTGCAACAGATTGATACTGACCTACAAGTCCATCTGCATTTAATTTATGGCTTATGTTTGTTGTAGAATTAATGATTGAAATAGATTTGAGTCTGGACCACTTAGTGAGCATTAGAATTGGTATTTAATTCTCCCGTCTTCTGTGCAATTGCAGATCTGCTTATGTTTCAACATTCTGTTCATCAGCTTCTATGAGGCTGCCTAATAGCTGTCATGGATTTTTCCTCCTACTTTGTAGGGACAGAAATGCAGTGGATTGCTCTATGAGTGTGTTTTAATTATTACATGCAGATTTCTAGAAGAGACAAAGCAAAGAAGTGGGCATGAGGCTTGTGTCAGATTTATTTTTTATTTTTTTATATGGGTTGAATTTGGGAGTTTCTCCTACACAGCCAGCAATTCTTCCTCCCTGACCACCACCTCCTTCTCCCCAAGAGATACCCACAAAGTCAGAAGGGAAGAGTGATCTACTCAAACTTTCAGCCTGAAGTTGCGGATGGCCTTTTAAAATCAGGCTGCTGAGCTGTAGTTTGACTACAATTTTACTTACCTTAAATTTGGTTTCAACCAGCCTTCCTTCATCTTTTAGTCTTCTCCAAACAATGAATCATTGGGTGTAGTTGTAATGCTCTGTCAACAAAGAGTTGTGTGTCATCTGGGTATTATGGATACTGTTATCTGACTAATTCATCTAAGTGGTTAGCATTGGAAAACGTGTTTGCAGGGTGCAGTGAGTCTCAAAGGTAGAGATACAGTTCATGACCATAAGGAAGAGTTGAAGCCATTCCAGTACATTAATATAAGACTCTGTTGCCTGTTTGATGGGAAAACGATTTCTGCTTAGTTGGGTAAGATGGTACTGAGTGGGCCAGAAGATAGAAATATGTCTTTTGTTCTCTATCAAACATGGAGAGAAGTTACAATTTTAAAAATACCAAGAAAGATAACAAGACTTCACACAAATTCAATATTGTTTTAAATGTAAGCAGGGATTGACTGCACGTTAAATAAACACTAAAGTACTCAAAATTTTATCTAGAATCTACGTATTTGAACCTAAATACTTGATTCAGTATTAGGCCTAGTGCCACAATTCTTATCTTCATAATTATTCATTGCACAGTACTGTCTGTGTAGTGACAGTAATTAGCCTTCTTGGTGCTTTTTCTTCCCATTTCAGAGCTTTCAGGTTATATTCCTGCAGGTTTAATTGTCGTAATTTGTTACTTAATGGCAATAGGAGAAAAAAGTTTCTATATGAATAACGAGGTTTTTGCAAGCCATGAAGAATGAGAAAGAAGAGTGATAAGTTATTTTCTGAGCACTTTTTAAATTTGTATTTTCATTACCTTAAAAACATTATGCACCTCTAAAAACAGGGGCAAATTCTATTTCCAAGGCCTTAATTCCTAAAGTTTGGCAGGTTCAGTATAAAATTTAGTGACTCAAGAGACTTCCAGAGACGATGTAGAATTTTTGTGGGCTGAAAAGGAACTTAAAATCCTTCTCCATCCTTTTCGTTAGCTTCTGTGGTAATTTAGAGTAACCTGTGGTAATTTAGAGTAACCTATGTAAAAATGTTTGGAAAAGGGAATGTGGTGGTAGAGCTGGCTTTCAACAAGTTGGTTTTATTTTAATTGTAGTTGTCAACAAAATAAGTTGTCTTCTGAAGACAAAGTGGACTCATGTAAAATGTATTGCCTGGAGTTTAAGCACAGGGAGCTGACTGCCTTTTTTATCTACATATTTTACTTGTTGATTGTGTAGTTATCTGGGATTTATATGCTGTAACAGATCCACAGAGATAGGTGTAAATTATGAATCTGCAGACTGAACAGGTACTTTGG